CAGTGAGCACAGGAGGGCACAGAAGGGTCAGGGTGCTACAGGACAACAGCTCTTAAATGTACAGCTTTCTCTATGGTATTGAAATCCCCTAACATATGCAGTTTGGTCTTTGGTTACCCCACAGTTGGTCTTTTATCTCATATCTTCTTGAACCTGCATCTTGAGGGCCATCCTTACCTCACCACATCACAGACATCACACACTCTTAATTCAAATGACAAAGCAGATCTTCAGTTGCAGCACTTATTCTTAACAGACAGGTAAGGGCCGTCTTTTTATGATGAATTTTGTTCTCTCCAAAGACGCCCAGCATTTTTATAAATACAGCCCCTTCCTTTGGCTTCAAGGCCTGTTTTCGAAGCCAGTGGTACCAGCACGTTGTTCTTCTGAGTTTATCGTCATCTCTCCCTTCAGATCATCCACCCTCTTTATTCAGACTGTTTCTAATTGCTGTAGCTCCTTTTTTCTTGGGGCACAGGTGGAAACAAAACTTGATCTGTATCCATTCAGAGTACATTGCCATAATCATAAAAAGGAAGATCGTCCTCTCCACTTATCAATTTCAAATTCTGGCAGCTCACTTCCTTCAAGGCATTCCTAACGCATTAAGCCACTCAGCTGGAGGTCATCGGAGGACTACTTCACCTGCATTAAAACCAATACAGGTGCTCCTTCAGCTCTCTAAGTGCCGAAACAAACCACAGTTCAACCATACATCACTGAAAACGTCCCTCAGCTTCTCTAAGATTTCCTTAATTCTGCAGTGGTGGTTTGGGGTCAAGCTTGGTTCGTTCTGGCTCTTTTTTAATCCTTAGCCAAGCTGGTGAAGCCAAATGTATTATGAATAAACTGTGATAATGATAATGTTGTTTTATCGGCCAGATACAATTTCTTGCATGAGGAATTTGTCTTTTCGCAGACCCCAGCTTGCTCTCCATGAGACACACAGACAGGGAGAGAGAAGCTGGGGGTCAGAGCACAGGGTCAGCCATTGTACAGC